AATGAATAGAAAACTATAAATTTTCAATTTGAGAGCACGTTTACTATCAAGTGCAATGCTAAGCTCCTTGAAATAACTTGAAAAATGTATTTATTTTAAATATACAGAAGATTATTTTTTGATTTTTTATTCGGATTTTCGCTTGTATATTCAGACTGTGAAATGAATGATTACGAATTACTTTCTAAAAAAACCCCTAATTAACCGTGATTCCGCATTATCCAAGGCGAATTTCCTTACACTGTAATTAAAAAAAAAAGTTTAAAACGATAACACACTTCGAAATGATTTCTGTTACCTTTTATCATTTAAATTCAATGGGAAAAAACCATTTGTATTTGATTAAAATGGCGTCTAAGTAAGAACTTTTACAGGTAAGTGAGAAAGCAACAAAAAACTATGTTTAATTAAATGCCGTCCACTTAATTTGCATGCAGTAATGAATACAGTAAAAAACAAAATCTATTATTCGAGGCCGTGATGGATATGATATACAATTCTCCNCACTTCGAAATGATTTCTGTTACCTTTTATCATTTAAATTCAATGGGAAAAAACCATTTGTATTTGATTAAAATGGCGTCTAAGTAAGAACTTTTACAGGTAAGTGAGAAAGCAACAAAAAACTATGTTTAATTAAATGCCGTCCACTTAATTTGCATGCAGTAATGAATACAGTAAAAAACAAAATCTATTATTCGAGGCCGTGATGGATATGATATACAATTCTCCTACCGGTACAGAAAAATTCATTTATAATCTACAATTTATACATAATGTTATATATAAATTAATAGTTTATTTACTGTACAGTGTAATATTTACATGCAGCACATTACCTCGCATACAGTAAGTTTCAGAAATAGAGACTTGCATGAAAAAAACACAGTAAAATACAATAAATCTACGTCCAAAACTGAAGTTCGACAGTTAAAAGAATGGCGGATAATCGAGTTTTACTTTACTTGTAAAGGTAATGTATTTACACAAAAAATACGCACAGAGAAATTTTATAAGTCCTGAATTTATTTACATAAAATTTTTCAATATATTTGCAATGACAACTTTTTATAGCAAATATTTTGCTACATGCGATAATAATTATCACAGTAAAGTAAAAACTACTTTCGCGAAGGTAAACTGCCAAAATCACGTGACCGACCATGAAAACACGAAGCAGAAATACACGCAGAAATTATGTTTATCACACAGTTAATATTATAGTTATGTAAACAAACACCGCATGAATAAAACATTAGAATAAAACAATAATTGGCGAATCGAATTTTGACGTCAGATTTGATTTACAACAATCAGTGGCGTAGCGAACATAACTGACGCTCAGGGCACGACACTTCATTGGCGCCTCTTCCCCCTCCAGAAACAAATCTTGTTTGTCTTGGAGACAATTTGGCGCCTTCCTGGAAGTGACGCCCGGGGCATGAAAGACTCCCTTGCTCCCCCCTCGCTACGCTAGTGACAACAATGTACACGTATATTGTACACCCTAATATTACGTAGTTATTACTAGGAAAGAAAACAAATTAATGTTCGAACCTTTTAAAAAACAATGTTCGATCAACAAAACATTAAATTATCATTCTAATATTCCTCTGCATATAAAAAAGAACATTTTTTATATGGAATATAAAAATATATAACAAGGAAATAAAGGAAAATATATAAATGACTTACACAAAAATTTTAGTTTAAACGGATACCCTATCAGATTAATTAATGATTGGCAACAAAAAATAGATAATAGTATTGCTTTCCCTGTTAAAAGAGATGAAGAAAAGCAAAAAGTTAAATACTTAAGTTTTCCGTACATAAAACATATGTATTAAAAAATTAATAAGGAACTCCAAAAAAAAAAACAATATAAAGCTTGCACCAAACTATAAAAATTTAATATCCAGATTAAATGCTAAACAACGTTCAAAAAAGCAAATAGAAAATAAAAACGAAATAAAAAATGTCGTATATAAAATACCCTGCACTTGTAAAATCAATAGTTTTTATATAGGTGAAACTAAAAGAACATTAAAAACACGTGTAAAAGAGCATATATCAGATTTAAAATATAGTCGTCTAAATTCAGTTTTTCATGATCACTGCGTAACCAATAACTGCAATATAGATCAATTAAATATACAGATTTTGCATAAAGAAAAAAGAACTTACGACAGAAAATTCAAAGAAAGTGTAGAAATAATAAGAAATAAACATCAAAATTGTATAAACAAAAATCTAAGCGTTAAAATTAATGAAAATTGGATGAAGATATTGTAAATAGTTGTGTATTAGATTAATAGAATGGTAAAAAAAAAGATTAGTTAATTTAAATTAAAGGTATTTAATTAAAAATGTAATACTAATGTATTTTGAGTTATATGTAAATTGGATAACAGGACAGTAGTTCACAAAATACGCCTGGTGGAATCTAAACGATAGATGTGTTTTTTAAAAAATGTTTTATATATTTTTTTCAAGACAATAGATGTCTATTAATTGCCCTGTCAGTTCATTAAATCAAGGTATATCGTGATATATGCAAATTGGCTGACTAGATGATAGTGTTGGAAAGATGACCTACAGGATATGCTTGGAAGAACGAAGACGAAGGGCATGATTTTATGTAACAATTTTAATTATTACTATTTATCAATTACTTTGTCTGCGTGTTAAAAATTAAGAAAACCGATTGTGTCAGTGTAAAAAGACGGCATTTATGGTAGTCGTCATGAAAACCTTTAGATCGTCTAAAGTTCAGCTATGTACTAGTTGGGTGTCTCTATTGGAGTGAGGTATGTTTCACTGGATAAAAATCAATTTTATTGTATAATTTTAGTTTATGTTCAGTTATTGTTGAATATGTTATTTTATACTTGTTTAGTTAGCTGAAGAGGGAAGAATACCCGAAACGCAAATGTGTAGCACGGCGTTCTAACCGAATAAAGATTGAAAACTTGCCAAGTGTTGATAAAGAAGGTCACTTCATTGTGCCAGTATACAAAAATATATTTAATTTAAATTGAGCTTCTTTATTTAATTTTATTTTATTCAGTCCGACCCTCACAAATATTTTGCTAAATTAAATTAAATTTCGAAATTTACTTCAGTCTTTTTGGTTTCTTGCCAATTACACCTAACTAGTTTATTTAGTGATTTATTATTTTTATGCTGTTTCCGGTTAGCTTAATCAAATTTTAAATACTGTATTTGTTAAAGCCCTGAATTGGATGAAGTTAGCATTAGATAGTTAATCCTACAAGAATTTTTTTTTCTATACCTATCATGGATTTGGCTGAGTCAATAATGGTGGCAGTCGAGTGATGAGGAAAATTCAATTTATATGCCTTTGTGCCCTTAACTAAATAATTTTAGATAAATCGTCAACTAAAACATATTTATTATTAGGACTTATTATACTGGATAACTGGTTCTGCAAATTACGTAAACAAATTCAGAGAGACAGTCTTTATTTATCACCTGATCAGGTGATAAATAAATACTGTTTTTCTGCTTTCGACATTCTTGCCTCAGATAAGCTCTCTCGAATGAGTTTTAATTTGATTGTTTTTGTCATGTTTATTTATTGTTTGTCATTGATCTCTGTTTTGTTTTATTTAGTGTAGTTGAGAAAACGTCCTAGTTTTAATGGCTACACAGTTACTTTCAAAAAATGTTAACATTAATATGATAGTAGCTGCTTTAGCTAAATAATCTCGTTGTTATTTCGATCAACCGCAAAGAAAATAAAAAGGAATGTGTGTACTGTACAGTACTGTACATCTACAATTTCTGTATACCGGTTTTAACATTTTTTTCAATAATCTTGTATTATTAACGATCTAAGAATAAGTCATTGCTTTCATTCTGGAAACCTGTTTTCGAGGCCAGTATCGACTCTCAAGAATTTTCGAAATGGTAACTGGAAATTTCAAGATCAGGATGCTTCTTGTCGTAGATACAAAAATAGTTTCTGGCATATTCATTAAATCTTTCCAGGTGTATTCTAGGCTTTATTACCGCAGCCATTCTATTATTTAAACTAATAATAATAATAATAATCTTCACAAGCATCAAAACACTGAAAGCGATAGAATAGAGAGAACGTGCATAAAAGTTCGTTTCCCGCAATTTTCGCACCATGTCGTGATGACCTCAACCATTAGACCTCAACCAATTAGAAATCGGTGGATTTCTGATTGGTTGAGGATACCGTTTTATAGACGTATTGGCGTTGAAAGTCGAACACTACTCAACTCGCTTTACGCTTTTTTTATGCTTTGCTCCGGCATAACATTTCATGATGACGTGATTTAAAATAATTATGGCTAGGGTTTTTATTCTAGTGGAGTTTCAACCTGAGAAATGCAGTAGAAAATAACATTTGACTTTCTTCTATTTTATATTTTATTTTCTCAAAATAAAATGAAACAAGGTTTTTTTTATTAAAAATAATTTACACAGTTTTCTAGATTAAAAATACTATAATTTTTGAAAAATTTTCAAAATTATACTTCTTTTCTAAACTTTAACTTTGTAAAATAATTTTCCTTACACTTGTTAAATTATCAAAAGAAAAAAAATTATTTTTAATGCACAGAAACATTGTTATATTATTTCTATTTATAAAATTATTTATACAAAAAGTCTAAATAAATATAAAATTCTGTGATCGTGCTTTATTCTTGTTTTTTGTGAATGATTTGTTTCTATATTTATTATTTATCCTTCATTATTTTATTATTTTCAATTAAAATATTAAAAGATTTATTTTGTTTTCTTTCAATTTTAATAAATTCTTCGTTTTTTTTGGTCGAATTTTTATTAAACTTCTGTAAAATTTCAATGATTTAATTACAGATTAAAAGGTAAACAAATTAACCTTGAATTTAATGAAGAAACAGGTTTTTAACCGAAAATATAACAAATTTTCCAGATAATATTCTCCGATTCAATAATTTAAAGCAAGATTATTATTACTGTTACAATGTTAGAAACGTGTTATTATTTTCTGGCATACTTTGGCATCATTTTTATATCCGTATGCACGCTATCGTTTCTGAAAAAACTTCTCTGGGGAATGAAGCTTTATCTACTGCCAAAGTTTATTAAACAAGACCTTAAAATATATGGAGAATGGGCTGTAATCACTGGTGGAAGCTCGGGTATAGGAAAACATACAGCTATTGAGTTAGCAAAAACTGGTTTGAAGCTGATCCTTATTAGTAACGAATTAGAACAACTGCAGTCTACGACGGAAGATATCAAAGAAGAATTTGGTGTCGAGTGTAGTTACGTATTCGCCGATTTAACAGGTGGGAAAGAAGTATGCGACTATATATGTAGCAAAATTGAAGACAAAGACATAGGGATCTTTGTAAATTGCGCCGGTGTTTGCGGCAATATGCCTTGCTACTTTCTAGACGAGACAGAAGAAAATACGTTGATGTTAATAACTTTAAATATGAACATTATTGTTAATACTACTTACAGATTAATAAACTTGTATTCTAAGAAGAAAAAAGGAGTTATTATTAATGTGTCATCTTCGACTTCGGCATTTCCAGTTTCTTACATGGCCATTTATTCCTCTTGTAAAAGATTCATGCATTTATTTACCAAAGCGGTTAACATCGAATTAACAGATACGGTTGTATTATTGCAATCACTCACTCCGTGTTCTGTCAATAGTAGAAATGTAAGTAATAAACCGTATTTAAAACAGTTTGGAATAATTGCTTCTTGTGAAAAGTTTTGTGAAAGTTGGATAATGTCTATTGGGAAAACTGACAGTTATACAGGTTACTGGTTACACGAAATTCAGCATTATTTTTCCGAAATGTGTCCAGCCTTTTTATACGATTTTATTTTGAAGAAACTTTTTATTGAATCCGAAAAGTACAAAAATATAAATAAATGACTAAAGAAAATTATATGCTATAAATTTAATTGCAGTTTTGACGTCTAATTAGGTAACACATCATATTCATATTATTATTACATTGTATTGTGCTATAATTTAAGCTTATTACTTTATGTCACTTTGTTTCACTGATTTAGGAGTTTGTAATGTTCAATAAATAAAATCATTTAATTAATTACTGTTAATAAACTTCAAAATTATACTTCTTTTCTACAAAATTTTGTATTTAACACAATTTAACATTTGTTACAAATATCGAGCTATCGATTTGTATGTTACTCTCAACTGTTTTTTTTAGATACTTGCTTAATGGATAATTTTTATATACAATAGTACATTGTATGAGATTATTGATTTTTATACTGTTAAGGTATTTCTATTTCTATTGTATTCTATTTCTGTTAAAGCATGTCAAAAATCTTTTATTGATACTTAATACAGGTATGTACTGTACTTGCTGTTATATTAATAAAACACCATACTTCCAATCGAGTCTATTGCTGTTTACTGTGTAGAAATCTCTACATGTCGAAAACTATTTATCACGAATTTTTTTTTTCGTTCCTGTGAGATTCGAGACAGACAGGTTCAATTGTATTCATGTTGTAATGAGGATTGATCAAATCTAACGCGAGAAATTCGAATTAAAGTCTAAGAAGTGTTTACAAACAGACCATACCTCCAATCCGCATTAAAATTCAGGATAGTTTATTGAAGGTTTCAACTTACAATTAAAAAAATCCAAAAAAGAATTGTACAGTATAACTTAAGAAAAATTGTGTGTGGCGCCATCTCTTACGACATTTTATTTATAAACTTTTTATATTATTAATTATTATAAATGGGATAAAGTTTAATTTTGACGGTATGGATGAGTTTTATAGAAAATTGTAAATGGTAATAAGAAGTAAAGTCTTCATTAAGTTCGATCATACTCGGGATGGAACACGCGACTCTCTCTCTCTCTCTCTCCCCCCACCCTCTCGACTATTAACGACCAAAATTTAACAGCATCAATGCTCCTAATTTACAAACCTTCCTGCAAAATTTCAGAAAATTTCGACAAAAGTTACACGATTTATTAAGCTTTAAAGAGGGTGAAAAAAATCGTACCACATACTGAAAAATCCCCGATATTTTGCATTTCTTGACGTTTCACGGTTCTCTGAATCAAAAATGTAAACAACTAAGGAATTATTTTTGACCAATTGCCTGTTCTGTTATATATAACAGAGGGAAAGTATGCGATCGGTCAAAAAATTACCCCCAAGATTTTTTACATTTTTGAACTCAAAGGACCTTGAAATGTCGAAAAATGAAAAAAAATGGAAGGTTTTTTTTTGTATGTATGGATGTTAGTGTTGATGTGTGGGGGGAGTACGATTTTATTTACTCTCTTTGAAGCTTAATAACTCCTGTGCTTTTTGTCGAAAATTTCTGAAATTTTGCAGGGAGGTTTGTTTATTAGAAGGATTATTGCTACTAAATTTTAGATTAAATGTCGAGGAATGGGAATTTAAATGGGGTCGTGTGTATCTCCAGTAGGGTCGGACNACATTTTTGAACTCAAAGGACCTTGAAATGTCGAAAAATGAAAAAAAATGGAAGGTTTTTTTTGTATGTATGGATGTTAGTGTTGATGTGTGGGGGGAGTACGATTTTATTTACTCTCTTTGAAGCTTAATAACTTCTAGGCTTTTTGTCGAAAATTTCTGAAATTTTGTACAAAGGTTTGTATATTAGAGGGATCGATGAAATTAAATTTTGGTGTAAAAGATCAAAGGAGTCAAATCACACCTTCATTCATGCACGATAATCTGCTTTGGAATGGTTGCAACTTAACACCATTCTCTCATGTCTTCAATTCTTCTTATGTGATATACAGTAGAACCTCGATTATCCGCCCTAATTGGGGACTGGGGTTGGTCGGATAATTGAAAAGTCGGATAACCGAAAAGTATGAAAAAATCCATTATTAGTGTAGTATATTATTATATCCCATGTAATTGGTATATTAGTATATCGCTATTAACCTATTTTGCGTTGAATTTTCATCGATGTTAAGCCTAACAAAAATTTTTTAAAATAATAATCGTCGCTATTGTATCGTTAAAAATTAGAAAATTAAGCTTCGTTTAAATACTGGCTCCCTTTCATGAATGAGTGTTTCCAGCTAAAACACGTAAAAATAATATTAAAGTAGCCAAGACATAGCCAAATATTGTAGCGCCACATCACTAGCTAGCGGATGAAATT